ATACTGTATGACTAATTAATAGCTTGTGTGTAAATAAACCAGAAGACAGCCTCATAGGCTACCTTGATGGAGGAAAGATCTCTGAAAACGAATTAACCATATTAGAGAAGAGTTGTTAAATTCACAACGTTGAACGAGACCAAACCCAGACAGCATGTGTTGGTGGGGCAGGTCATGGATTGGTACTATATTCTAATTTGTTGAGTATATAACCCTGCTAGAAGTTACACCAGCCTGTTGATGTGAATTCATTTCATCATCATCGTTATTATATGTATGACATTTACACTATATATTAATTTGAAAGCTGCTATAATGGTGTTTCAGATGGTTCTGGCCCGATGTATCTTAAGGATATAGACTACACTTATTTTGCAGGCAAGAATCAATCATGAAAACGTGTGCCATCACTTCTAATGATCACACATGCATGTACATATACAAACATACACAAAAATCAATACAGCACCAAAGCTCAATGCCAAGTTACAATACTCCAAGTCTCGTAGATGGATTGGGTGTTGACCATGTGTTGTATGCATGGTTTACACATAGGGCAGTAGGTCAGGAGGTAGAGCTAATCAGAAGGTCGGTGGATCGATCCCCGGCTCCTCCAGTCTGCATATGGAAGTGTCCTTGGGCAAGATACTTAACGTCGAATTGTTTGAGTGTCTGAATGTATTTGTTTCTGTTTCGGATGAGCACCTTGCATGGCATCCACTGCCATCAGTGTATATATGTGTGTGAATGGGGTGAATGTGACATGTATTGTAAAGCGCTTTGAGTGGTCGGAAGACTAGAAAGGCACTATACATGTACAGCCCATTTACCGTGTGTGTTTGTGCATTACTGATGATTCCATGTCGTCACTGGTCCCAAAATGATGCAGTCTCATATTCATGTTTGAGTGTATGTCTGTGTTGTGAATGCCTCCAGGCACCTTATGCAACTGTTAGAGATAATGAGGTCTCAAACACAGTTTGTGTATGTATGTGTGTTTAATGTGTAATATCTCCGGTTTGCCCTCCAGCCCTTTGCTTATAATGTGAGTGTGCATGAGCTACAGTTATATTGTAAATAATATATAACAATCTCTGTATTCCTCTTCTGTCCGTGTATATTATTTGTGTGAACCGGTGTGTGGTGTTTAATCTCAAGTGCACATGTTTATGTGCTAAACCATCTCACACAACAATAAAAAGGCTACTATAAAGTACATTTCGGTGTGTGGATGTGTAGGTCTCAGAAGGGAAAATGTAAGCACACTGTATATACAGGTGGTGGTTATATAATTAGAATATCATCAAAAAGTTGATTTATTTCAGTAATTCCATTCAAAAAGTGAAACTTGTATAATGTATACATTCATTCCACACAGACTGATATATTTCAAGTGTTCATTCCTTTTAATTTTGATGATTGTAACAACTTATGAAAACCCCAAAATCAGTATCTCAAAAAATTTGAATATTGTGAAAAGGTTCGATATTGAAGACATCTGGTGCCACACTCTAATCAGCTAATTAACTCAAGACACCTGCAAAGGTCTTTAAATGGTCTCTCAGTCCAGTTCTTTAGGCTACACAATCATGGGGAAGACTGCTGACTTGACAGCTGTCCAAAAGACGACCATTGACACAAAAGGTCATTGCTAAAGAGGCTGGCTGTTCACAGAGCTCTGTGTCCAAGCACATTAATAGAGAGGCGAAGGGAAGGAAAAGATGTGGTAGAAAAAAGTGTACAAGCAATAGGGATAACCGCACTCTGGAGAGGATGGTGAAACAAAACCCATTCAAAAATGTGGGGGAGATTCACAAAGAGTGGACTGCAGCTGGAGTCAGTGCTTCAAGAACCACCACACACAGACGTTTGCAAGACATGGATTTCAGCTGTCGCATTCCTTGTGTCAAGCCACTCTTGAACAAGACACAGCGTCAGAAGCGTCTCGCCTGGGCTAAAGACAAAAAGGACTGGACTGCTGCTGAGTGGTCCAAAGTTATGTTCTCTGCTGAAAGTAAATTTTGCATTTCCTTTGGAAATCAAGGTCCCAGAGTCTGGAGGAAGAGAGGAAAGGCACAGTGGAGAGGATTTTCATTAGTTGTCAGTTTTAATCATCACAATTAAATGAAATAAACATTTGAAATATATCGGTCTGTGTGTAATGACTGAATATAATATCCAAGTTTAACTTTGATGATATTCTAATTAAATGACCAGCACCTGTAAATGGGGACCGGTCACCCAAGTCTATTGGGCTTGTGGACAAAATTAACAACAGAAATGCTCCAGGCACCAGCTGCACACCACGGCGAAGGCAAGCAACAGCCCAAGTTGTAAGTGTAAAGTAATTTAAATCCTCTTCTGAAGGATGAGAAAACATTTTTTACAGTTGTGGGGATTAGTCTAAACAGGCTTCTTGCAGGTCACGGATGGATAGGCTTATGTGGGGCCATGTAACAGGTTTAGTAGTCACTGGCTTATGGCATAGTCATATGCTTCTCTAACATGTAGGGAGTATCTAACCTTCACATATGATTGTCTCGCTTCTGGACATCTCTGTTAAGCCTGTCCAGTCAGTCTGATTCAGCTCATAAAGAATACATAGAAACCTGTTGCACGCGTGAAAGTGCTTTTCTTACTATCTCTTTACAAAACATACCAGTTATACCATAATACAACCTTAACATATGACAATATACACCATGAGGTGATAGTTCATTAAAGTGGTGGAGATTTTTCTTTTTACTATTGCAATACAGTATTTTTGAAGGCATGTCAATATGATGATGGTCCTGTATTTCTAGTCATTAAAATTATTACATTAGTTAAAACTGATCTTTTCCTGGCATGTTCAACTTGTTGGAGACCCAGAACATGCTAGAGAGATTATTAATCTCATCTGGCTTGGGAATGCCTCGGGATCCCCCAGGGGGAGTTTTAAAAACATTGCTGGGGAGAGTGACTACCTTGCTTAGCCTGCTGCCATCGTGACCTGGACCCGGATAAACGGCAGACAACTGACGAATGGACTGAACGGTGGAGGGACAACTACGAGTCTTCCAAAATACATTACCTCATTTGGTGTTTTGATGACTGTGGTAGAATGCGATGTCTTAACACATCGGTCCACAAGAGGTGTTTCATTAGGTTGAGATCTACATTTACTGGAAAGGGTTCCCCCAACCCACAAACGTTTACACTGAAGTGACAATGCCCTCTAAGATGTCAAAATTATTATGAGAGCTGGGCAAAGAGGAAAGTGAAGTAACACATGAGGTCGGGGCGAGTGGGTGGGTTCAGTGAAACAGTAAAACGAACTTTACCACGATCATTCCTTAAGGTTAACCAAAATTCGTTGCAAGATGGTGATAAATGTCACATCACAAACCATGGCTTCAAAAATTCCCATTATATGGAATCAATACCTCTCTAATGCTTTAAATTTGACATATCTGCCAGAGCAAATGAAACATGAGCTCTGCAGATTCGTCTGGTTCCCAGGCTAATTTAAACCATTACCATAACACTTTTTTCGTAATTGAAACGCCCCCCCCCCATCAATTAGACTCATGCATGGTAATAACATACACACAGAATAACACTGAAAGCTTCCAGTGATCTTTTACAGTAAAAAATTGTTGGATTGCTATAAGTTTGTGAATGGGAGTGTGTGTTCATGGTCTTCAAGGTCATCCCTCTCCCTGGCGGTCCTATTGTCTCCTCAGCAGCAGCCCAGGGCCTCATTACCGCTCACTTTATCTCTGGAGGGAAACTTAGAGTCAAAGCCAAGCTCTCACTCACTGCATCTGTCTCCCTCCATACACACACAGCCACAGATACATGCACGGCCATCCGTCGTACCAATACCGACACCATAGCCGATGTCAAATCTTTTAAACAGCTTTCATGATACAGATCAACCATGTATTTGTTACATTCTTTTCCCTCATATCTTTTGTTTTTTTATCTTCCTTCTCTTCCTCTTCTTTCCTTTGCTCCCATTCTATCACTTATTCAACAGATAGTCCTTTATCTCTGTAGCTTTTCCACACCAGGACAGAAAGCCTGTGATTTATATGTAATTAAAATTAATTTAACTGACATTCTGTACTTGTTAACCTCATAACATAACTGTTACCAATTAAAAAAGCTGTTCGTCAAATTAACCTCTGGCGAGAAAAGAAAAGCACTTAAACTTACTTATGCAATGTGCTGAGTTTTTTCACTGATATGTTATGTTCATATGTAGATACTAAACTTCAGACATTTTGTATTACAGAGGGATTTATAGCTCTTTGTTGATGATCACTTGTCTTTTAGATAATTTGACATTTTGGGAAACACGCTAATTCCCCTTCTATCCAACAGTAAAATGGGAAGATTGATACCACTCTCATATCTCTGGTAATTATACATATGTAGCAGCCAGTTAGCTTAGCTTAACATAAAGCCTAGAAAATGTGGGAAACAGCCAGCCCAGTAAATTTGCCTACAAGTACCTCTAAAGCTCACAAAATAACATGTTATATGTTGTGTGTTTATTTGGTACAAAAAAAAGAGTTTGGGTTTAACAGTGGGTTATGTACCAGACTATTTCTTGGCTGGGAGCAGTAGCTTCTTCTTGTCTTGTAGTCACTGATCCCAGCTCCCAGACAAGAATCTAACTAAGCTAACCAGCTGCTTATTCTCTGTAAAAACACAAACAAGAAAGAGTAGGCCTAGTTCCAAAAATACTGAACTTTAAAACTTCCTTGTTTGTTATTCCAAGGTAGATAACCTTACACTGCAGTGAACCAGCTTTGGCTCAATTCGTTTTAAAACGAATATGATCTCCATCCACAACAGCATTTTAGCTGCGTATCAGAGTTGATCTCCATCTATACTAAAACAACTGAAAACGCACATCTAGTGGCCATTCACAGACACTACGCGTGCCAGTGTAAATATGAAGCAAATGGTATATTCCATAGTTACAGAAGAATAAAATAAAGTACTACAGATGAAGGACCACACCAAATTTTATTTTGCATGGATCACTAACGAGCTGGGACTGTTCCTCAACATAACATTGGAATTAAACTGTAGTGGCGGAAAACAGAATGGGAGTCGTCAAAGTAAATAGGGTGAAATACACAGTGTATAAGCGTACTTGGCACGGTACAAAATATTTTAATAAAAATACCCCGTCGAATGTCAGTAGCATCTTGTTTCTACTTTGCATGACTTATGAGACCCAATCAGAGAGCCAAATGTCAGCGTCTGCGCCAATGTTTCTAAAGTCCTCCGTTTTTGCCCATCCACACTAAAACGCTACCCAGAGTTTTAAAACGAAAAACGGGGTCAGCAGCGTTTTCAAAATTCTCCGTTTTAGGTCTTTGATTTCACCATTTTAGTCTCGACAGGAGGTGCAAACATAGCAAACGCAGTAGTGTGGATGGGGCCTCAGTCAGTACAATGAGACTACCTCTGCACCAAGCACTTCTGCCTCCAAAAAGTGTTTGCATGACCAAAACTTCAGTCTGCCAAATGAAAAAAAGGCAGGAAAGGTAACAGCACTTTCTAAAATAGAGCCAATAACTCACTCCCCCAGCAGCAGAACTTCTAGCTGAAATGAAACAGCCTTTTATGGTGCCAAGCAGACAGACACCAGCATAGACTCTGAGAAAATAAGAGAAGAGGCGCAGACTAAAACAAAAAAGTACAAATAAATAACAGCAAGAGAGAATAGCAGACGGGAGTGTGAGGAAGAAAGAGCTCTATAAATTGTGGCCCAGTGCAGGGCTGCAGGGAGGGCGAGCAGCCTGATGAATAGAGCCATCAGCCTAAGCAGAGGCTACAGAGCAGCCTGCCATCTGCCTGCCCATTACTAGAATAGAGTGTGTGACGGTCTTCTCTCATCTGTAGGCCCCACTGGCATCGCTGGCAACCAAGAACAATTCTGTGTGTGTGTTCACTCTTACTGAAGTCCAAACGGGACGAGGTCTCCTTGCCTAGACAGGACTATAACCACATTTTCACATTGTCTTCTGTTGTGTTTTTAATTTGTGCGGGTGAATACATTTGTATCTATCTGAAGCATATTGTGTGACACTGTGTGTGTGTGTCTGTGTGCACACACGCAAGAACACGAGGGTGGCCCTCAGAGAAGAGTTACAGCAGCGTGGCAGACGTTTCACACCTCATTGGCAAGCAAGGAGAGCCAATCACCGCCAACAGATCCGCCCCTCAGGCTGCCGGCCTATTCCTCAGTATCCTTGATGAGTTAGAGAGTCAAAGAATGAAAGAAGTGGGGAAAAAGTAAGAAAAAGAGCAGGAGAGTGAGGCAGAACAAAAGAACAAAAAAGGAGACTAAATGCAAACAGAAGAATGAGGATAAACGTGTGACTCTGGATAAACACTGAAAGGCACAAAGACGGATAAAGAGTCGGAGAGAGTGTGGGAAAACTTTAAAGGGAAAAGCTACTTTTTTGGTCATTAAAGGTCATTAAATCAAATGTCATTAGTCATCATGTTCCTTTGTATTGCAGAGCTGAGTGCATTCTGGTGGGTTTTTTTGGGGGGGGCAGAGGCTCTGTAGGCCTGAAATATCATAAAAGCACTGAAATTAAATTGTAGCTTTAACCTAATTGCTTTACACAGTCCAGTACAGGAACTGGTGTTTGCGGCAGTGACAAAGTTAATATATAGACAGACAGTACAGAGCACTTACAAAGACAGCAAAAGTCATACTGTCAGAAGCGGATTTAAATAAATACCCTACAGTATGGGTAGAGGCGCAGAGTAAAAGGTCTTGTACATTAACAATACAGTTCAACAATGAACAGAAAGATCAGCATGGAATTAGCACAGCATCACAGAACACCAACATACTGTACTTGCCGAGGCTTTAAAATGCGTGAAGTGAAAAGTCTGAAATGACTTTGTAGTGCAGATTCTTTAACCATGAGACAGAGGACAAAAAAGCTGGAAAATATACAGAGCGGAGAGCATGAGTGGTTTCATCACTGCTGATTTCATCAACACTCTGAATGTACCCCACATTTCCTTCCTACACTGTGCATGACTGTGATTTGTCAGTTTTATTACATGTCTCCTGGCGTGTCAAATCAGTGGCTAATAAAGAGACAGACCTTAAACGTCTTCCTATACGTCCTTAAAGAATTATCATAACCTTTTGCATTGTCATGAGCACAGACGATGATAAAGTAAGTTGGCATGAAATAATGTAGCCTTTTTAGTGGGTAAATGTATGAGTCCTGATAGTGCTGGCCATATCATTTACTGCTCGATAACAGATTTTCCTGAGGTTATAGATGTTATAGAAATGTTCAATAATAAGTTAAAGTTGTTAAAGGAAATGTTCTTAAAAGATATATGTGTAACCCTTATTACGAGGTAGTAATAAAGTACATAGGTGTAGTAGTCTAAAGCAGTCTTTGAGGTTATCATTAATGTGGACCAGAATCAGAAGATGCTAAATTGTTAAGAGCCTGAGAATTGAATGTCAATAAAAAGAATACCACACCAGAATGACAGTTATGAAAAATAACAAACTCAAATAATAAAGTGCGCACGTAAATAAAATCCCTTTCTTTTTAGCTTCTTTGAGTTCAGTTCGTCCTTGGTTCCACTTGCCTTTATTGACAATTTTTCACCGTTGGGGCCCTTTTAAGTTTGTGTTAGTGTTTGCCCTACCACAATAAAGATGAAGAAGATCCTGGCAATCCGTCTAAAGTTAGAGTCACAAACACGGTTGGTTCGCCACCCAGCCACCTGGACTGGGAATCTATGAATCTCTGGAAGAACGTTGGATCGGTATCACTCCGTGGAATGGAACTCAGCTGCAAGATGTTTCCAACTCTTTACCAAAACCTGACCTATAAACAAGGCCAAATCATTTCGCTCACTTACCATTCAGTGAATAAATGGACTGCTACAGGCTACTATAAAATAAAGTGAAATATTTCAGTACACCTACAATGCAATATCAAAATCGCTCTCTCCTTTAGCGCCGATTAGCATAAATGCAAACAAACTCACCGGAAACTCAGCAGGCTAGGTAAAATACAAATGGGCCTCAAAAGCCTGGGGCCTGTTAGCATGGATGCTAACGAACTCTGAGGCCTAGCGCCAGGTAAACAACTCACCATTTTTGCGGAATTCACTGCCTTTAGCTCCGTGACAACAGTGGATTCAGGCACAGCTCTCTTTCACTCTCTATATTACAACAGGGTATAGTCAGAATAAGCAATAATGATCACAAAATTTGTTTAATTCACTCCATGTCGCTTCTCTTCTTACCAAGTGGTGCTCAGGTGCAGGCGCCAAAAGAACGTGCTGAGACGCGAAACTAGAGGCGTAACTGTAACGCAGTCTAGCTGGCAGCTGATTGGTCAGCTCACTGCATCATACAGTTCACCCATTTTGCCAAGTCCATCAATGATGATGAGAAAAATGAAACTTAACCCTTAGTGACTTGGTCAGGCAGCTAAATAGTGTTTCTCATTATTAAGCCTGGGCTACATATGCTTCACTAGTAAAATCAAACGGAGAGCAGATCGCTCAAGTAACAAAAAAACATTTGAATGGCTGTTCAAAGGTCAATGAGATTTGTGTTTAGCATCCGTTTATTTTATAACCCAATGTTTCTTTTTTATTTTCACCTTTCTATTCTGTTCTCCTCACTCTCCACCGCCTCCATCATCCTCGACCCCTCAGGACCTCAGTATTCATTTGTACACAGTTTGTTGTCACTGTGCAGCTTCACTTCCATGTTTAGGCGCATCTCAGTGCTAAAGGCCATCTCAGCTACACTTGTTGAGAAGGGTTTTACCATGGTAAAGACATTAGGGTGGTTCAAATGAGAAGCCTTCTTTGAGATAAAAAAAAAATGCTATAATATTTATATATGTAAATTTGCACACTGAGAACAAATTTTTGACGACTACATTGAGCATTTAAACAATTGTTTTTTTATTCTGAGATTTTGTTTAGGTCAGTTGCTTACTGTTTACTGACACTTACCAATTAGACAATTGCATTTTGACCAGATATTATTGTTTTACCAGGAGGCAAATGACTGACCTTGATGATCATTTTAATTTGAATATTCTGCTTTTATTACTAGTCGTTTTATTTACTGCTGACATGAAGGCCTAGGTTAAAACTAATGTTATCAGGCTGTTTAATCCCGCATTCCATTCATTGCTATTTAATACATTAAATATTCTGCTTCATCACTATTTTTTTTGTCTTTCATGTTATCATGCTGTTTAGCTAGATATATATAGTAAATGCATAAAGAACAGTGTACATGCAGCCTTGCTGTCATATCTACCAATGTTCTCTTCAAAACTACCAGACTTCTTTGACAAAAACAGTAATTTTAACTCACAGAAAACGAAAGTTGGTGCACCGCTACCTCGATCAGTTAGTTAACACGTTAGTTCGGATCCAAAGTAACCCTTTAAAATACCACGCCCATGCTCACTGAAGTCATACTCAAATGTCAAAAAAGAAAAACAAGTATTTTTTGTCCGTTCAGCTCCCTCAAAGAGTGAGCGATAAATGGTAGATTTTAAGTGACTTCTGTGGTCTAATATGGAACTACATTAATTTTAAATTGCATTATGTCCTTCCCTAACATACTGTTTCTCAGGAAATGCATTTAACTAAAGAAGAAAAATGCGCTGAAAAAAACCCCCATTTCTTTGTGGCTTTAGAAGAGGAAAGAGCACTAGCGACTCTCAGCTATTGTTGAGATGGAGTATTTTCAAAGCAGCTTTGCAACTTTAAAAGGTCATTGAGGTCATGGTGGAGGCCTTTAAAAGGAAAAGGTAAGCCCCATGTTTGAGTCTCATGATTTTCTAATCATCCTTTAATTATATCAGAGGGGATATAATCTCATTACAGACAGAATACACCGTTAAATCACTTATCTTAGCTCGGAGGTAGCTGGGTCAGATAGAGGAGTCGTGCAGCTTATGTCAGAGTCACAGAGGGAAAAACAAGCGGGGGGGGGGCAAAAAAATAGACTCTTCTGTGGAGAAACACCTGCCATGAACCCCAATACCCATTATCCCCAACCTTTAGAAAACCCCTCAACGTGAGCACGCGCGCGCACACACACAGGCTATATAACAAAGTCAAGCCCTCACCCCTTCAAGCCTCCTAAAGTCAAGGAAAGCAAAAGGACAGCTGACTGACAGACATAGGGGGATTAGTCACAATGAATCACATGCTTGCACACACACAGACACACAGGCTTTCTCACTCATTCTCGCTTTATCCATCACACACTTTCTTCTTCTGATGCAGAGATAACGTCTCCTCTGCGGTCACCTGCCTCCACATCAAACCCAGGCGAGGTCCCTATGACGTACACACACACAGAGCATACACAGTGTGTGGATGGCTGCACACATACATACTGTGTCTGTCTATCCAGTTAAGCCCAACCCAGAGTCTGGCAGAGTGCAGACAGCGTAGAGAAGCCGTCTCCTCCAAGGCAACATTAGCCTGGGAGACTGAGCAGCGAAGAAACACACTCCACAAAGGAAGAGGAAGAGAGGAAGAGAAAGACTGAAAGAAGTAGATAAGTAAAAGAAAAGAGGGACAATGAGGGGATAAAGAAGAGGTAGAGCTCCCTGCTCTTTCCCTGAATAGCTAGCGTGCACCGAGGAATCACACAACAGAGCTATATAAAGAAAGACAGACAGATAGGGAAACAGAGAGAAAGATGGATTATGAACCAGAACATCTGGGACAAATATTTCCCCCACGCTCCAGTCCCCTCTCTCTTGGGCTCATTCACTGTGTTTGGCAAAAATGTCGTCGTGACAACACGAGGGCCGTGTATCCATCAAAGATGTACAACGCTTGCTGTAATTAGCATAAAACACGCGGGACGTGGAGCCGCTGAATATTTATGGAGAAAAGTTCAACAACAGTTCCTGCATCGTTTCGTCTTTTATTTCCTCTGATCAGACATTGTCACAAGTGTTGGTCTGGGTGAATACTCAACACGCAGATCGTTACATTATTAACGTCACACAAACTCACACAACAGATGCAAACAAGAAAAAGATGCGTACATGTGCATTTGTGTACAGGATAGTGCATTAGAAGCAGCAACAAAATAGGACTGACTTTTATTCATAAAAATAGACTTTTATTTTCCTAACGGTGTTGGAGTAAGAGGGGATGGGTCCAAGTGACCTATGACAGAGATGGCATTCTTTCTTGTGGTTGTTCTGGCTAATTTTTACTGTCCTTCTAGTGGGCTAAGCTCAGCCCTGCTGGGTGCGGTCGGCCCCTGCTGCAACAGCAGACAGCGTCACTGCCTCCCTACATACTCACAGGAGAGATAGACAAAAGGGAAGAGAGGTGGGGAAGGAGATAAGAATCAAGGGGAAAACATGTCTATTTCTCTCTCAGGATGCTGTGTTCGGTGTCTCTAGTCTGGTTCGGTTCACCACTGGGTTTGGAGGGTGTGTGCCGTAGTGCTGAGTCATTCCTCACTTTCTCCACTCCGGTTTGGTCTGTCTAGTCCGTCGATAATAAGTAACCCCACACCATAAACTTTTCATTGCTCCCTCTTTCTTCCACTTTCTTCCTTAACTCCCGGCCCTCAACTTGTTCTGCAGACAAAAACAGAGAGAAAAGTGCTTTAGTGTAATGGAGGGGCAACTAAAAAAAGTCTAAATCTAAATAGACAAACAAACAGAGAGAAAGATATTATGTCACACAGGACAAACAACGCAGAGAGAGGAAGGCTTGAGAGAGCAATAAAAAGGGAAGAGGATGGAGTGAGTTTGAGAAGTGGAGAAAAGACCAGAGGGCAGTGGATTCCATGTTAGCGATAAGTGCAACCACAAATCCCCAGCACTCCCTGTCAATAACCATTTGAACCAGGCTATTGCAGCTGATGCCCCTGGATGAAAACTGCCAAAGAGGAGAAGAGTGAAAGAAAAAAAAAAAAGACCAGAAATACGCAACATAAGGAAGGGAATTAGACAGAAAGAAAGAAAGAAAAATGTCTTCGTTCTCGCTGATCAGCCTAAGAATGGGAGAGAAATTCACGTCAGTAACTTGAGCTTTATTTTTGGGGGGGGGGTTAAAATAACATTTTATCTACAGTACCAAAGTCACTGCTGGGATCTGGGAACATTGCTTCATTTCTATGATGAACTCTAGGGCGATAAACAATAGTGATTCTACTGGTTAAAATTTCACTTCCAATACTTTCTGTAGCACACACGTACGCATTAGGGGATTATTATTGACATCTGAGGTTTCCACACTTTCAGTTTATCCCTCGAAATAATGTTGTTTAGGTAAACTGGCTAAACTACTGGCTTGTTTACAACTTGTCTCATCCTTTCATGTCTTTAAGGGATTTCATCCATACTTTTTTTTTCTCTCCCAATGCTGATACCTCAGCTCAGGATATCAGAAAGTGTGTGATGGACAGTATCAGCAGCTACCGACTGGATTCTAAATTTGAAATCCGAGTACCTCGCTGCTCATTTCTATGTAATGTAACATGAGGCCAGAGATTGCTGTGGCGCTAAAAACTGAGTCAGGGGCCCACTGTGACTGAATGAAAAGCAGAAACACTAAGGGCCGGGTTTACTGTGATGTGACGCATTCTGCCTCAAACATGGGCTGAATTTATAAGATCATTTGTGCAAGTGTTAGCAAGGTGCGCCTCTCTCCTCATAGCACAGGGAGGCCCTTGCAGTTTGCGACTGTCAGTTTTGTGGGAAAGATTTTACGTCAATGAAAATAGCCTTTTCTTTGTTTTGTTAACATATTTAAGTTTGTATTTGACATTTGATTTCTCATTCAGGTAAGTGTGGCTAACCTGGGTCTTTAACACCTTGATGGTTGTTTGTCTGCTTGTGTTTATTATTGCAATACCAATATGTTCTCAGATCTTAGTAGAACTTAAATGTAATGACCAAAACATATCCATGGAGTCAAAAGCAACAATACTGAGACAAGATTTACTTACTCATTAAAGAGCGATTTTCATTAAAATGTCAATATAAAGGTGATGTTGAAGCAGTTACATGAGCCAGCTCCTTTTTTATTTCGATCCTTCCAAACATAGCACCCGCTGAAACCACAAACAGGGATCTATCTTGGCCCTTTGAGAGTAAAAGTGTGATGGAAGGGTCAGTCTAAAAAATGAAGTAGAGAAGGAAAAGATAGGGAGCAAGAGGCAGTCATGCAGCGAGAATATGGAATAAGGAGGCAAGCAGTGGATGGAGAGATCGGCTTCCATGATAAACTCTTTTTCATAGAGCGAGAGAGAAAGCGACTTTATCTGTCCTTCGACTGCCTCTTCCTCACAGTTTGCTATCTGGATCTGTTAACTGCTGAATGCATTAGAAATGTGACTAGGGATGAAGGGATGGTGGATGGAGGGAGTGAAGGAGGAATGGTGGCAGGGCATAGAGGCCACAAAAGAGAGCGAAAGTGGGTCTAAATGTTATCACTGGCTGTGGCGATAAGAGCGTTAATTATCAGTGACAAAGGCTCTGTCTTGGCTGACTCCAGTTGAGGGGTCAATATTGTAAAACTGAGATTTAGGGGATTTGGTTTTTATCCTCAGTAAGATGGCATCTCGGACATCCCTATCTATACCCACGATGCAGCAGTGGAATTTAAGATTTGAAGGGGAAGGACGAAGAAGGGGAAAGAGATTTTGCTGTATGAAAAGTGTCTGAGCTATGCTAGGCTATCAAGCGTCTTCGACAGAAAGGGCAAGAGATGAGGGACGGCTGTTAGAGGGCACGCTGGGATCTTCTGACCTCCAGAGGTCAAAGCCATGTCCTCTGACATTTCTTCTCGGTGCAGCTTCCTGCTCGGCTCTGATAAAGCTGTGTAAACATCCTAATCACAGAGCTGCATCAGATCATATCAATCCTACTTCATTCCTTCCCCCTATTTTTTTTTCGGGTGTGTAATTCTGCATATTATTTCTTTAAACCCTTATCACAGAACAGTTTTTTTTTTTGCACCTAATGACTTTAAAAGCAAGTCTTAGACAGATAAGCACAGATGAACAGGAGTGCGCTGTGATTGCCGCGGGGTGATAAACACAAGCGGATTACCATATCGTCTCAGGCTTGCTTCCAAACAATTTACAACATCATAACAGCATCCGGACTGTGAATGTACCCTTGCTGAATCTTGACGAGGCTACAGGTAGCTTTCTTAAATGCGTGCACACACATCCACACAATGAATAAAACATTGTGCAATTTACATGATGTATAGCTTAAAAATCTGCCAGCATCTGACTTTTAGATCTTATACTAATACCCACGAGAGTGAGTGAGAGCCACAAAACTCTGGCAAAACAATGCAATTGTAAAAAAAAAAAACCTAATAAAAAGGCTCCATGAATGTAAATTGAGCCTTGTTGGGGGCAATGGATGTTACATACTGCAAAGTGAGAGAGGGGGAATCAAGTTAATAGCAACCTGAGTGACATTACTATTACCATACAGTGTGTGACTGTGGGAGACAGAGGGCGGAAAAACATTTGCACTTGTCAATGAAAGGAGAGAGCTCCAGAGAGGACAATGGTATCCAACTAGCAGCGGCTACTCCCATGGTCTTATTACATTAAAACACATGCACACAGAGACAGTCGGGGAACGCCTGTGTCAGCAGGTATTATGGAAATAGATCGTAAGGTTTAAACTGGCTATTTAGAGTGAGCTTTATTCAGGCGCCAGTAGCCCAGTGGAAATTATATTCTCCTGTCTAAAAGCAAAAAGGCGGCGCATGTAAATGGATGCTAGTGTGTATGTTATATTAATTCATTCAGACATTCAGAAAGGGATGGGCTGCTGTATTGTAACTTACATACACATCTATGAGCCCAATGACGCATTCTGTAGCTAACACACACAGGGCTACTTTGTAATACACACAATTAAGTCAACTAAAAGCTACACTACAGGATTAGGAGGTGCTACAACATACATATCATCTGTCCATGAGGGAACATGCACATACTTGTCATTCTTTACAAAGGAGAAAAAATTTGTAAGGGTTTCATGGTACAAAGAATTCCGTTGCACCATGGAAATGCTCATTTATTTCACTTAACAAGCATGCAGTACACATACACATAATATTCATATGCAAACGATGCTAGTAAGTGTAGCAAATTATGTCCAAATGAGATCTGAAAAGTGACACAGGTTAGTTCAGTAAATACGTACCTGTTTGGTGTTGTTGACACACTGTAGGTAAAGGGATGCTATGTTGGAGCAGTTAAGGGTTTTCCCAACGTTCTCTCTGTAGCATGTGAGGATCTCGCCCTGCAGATCTGCGCACACAGGGTACATCTCATACCGCCTGTGGGGGTGAGAACGGGAGAGAAACTGTGTGAAAATGGGGGAGAATTTGGTGTAAAAGTGGAAGGGAGGATGTGGCAGGAGGAACAGTGTGAGGGAAGAGAGATAAGAGAAAGGGATACAAGTGTTGACTGAAAAGGACTGAGTGAAAAATGCGTGAGTGACAAAAGAGTCAGAGGTGGACAGAAATTGAAGAGTACATAGAAGATGGGCAATGCAGATAGAGTTGACAAAATGAGTATGAGATATAGAAATCTAGAACAAAAGACGGAAAAAGACATATTGTTGTAAAATGAGAATATCGCTGCTCCTTTTTGTCTCAAGAGAGCCAAATGAGCTATACTGCAATCAGCAGTTTGTGTACACCCCCTGCCTTTTCTGTTACTGTCATTCTGGTACAAAACACCTGAAGCAAGAATCAAATATACTGTATCGGCTGGAAAGAAAGTCAAAGGTCAATCCAGCCCCCAAAACCTGCTGTCATGACCTTGTCAGCGTTTGCATTAAAACATATCGACAGAAAGGCCTGCATACTTTCTAAAAAAGGGACAATTAAAGCTTCCAACAATGGCTTCATCATCTTAAAAGGGACATTCATCAGTGCTATGGGACTGCATAGAAGAGAAGCTAACACAGCAAATCAATGCGTAAATGGCATTGGTTTTATGTAGATAAACAATAAGGCTTACTTGTTGCAATGTGATGATGATAATGTACTTAAAATTACTAGCAAGCTAAGCATACCATTCTGGTAAACTGGTTGTTATGTCTTACCCTTAAAAATCCTTTAAAGGCCTCACAGGAGAGTATTGATCACTCTACTGGGCACCAGTGAATCCATCCATTGATGCAGGAAGGCTCCATGAGTGTGCCAACCATTAAATACTGGGTAGCTGTCACCTTGCACTGGTCTAAATAGACATTCAATCTTTTAGCATCCAAGAGAAGGCTGTTGTTGTAGACTGTGAATGCTAATTAGTCTGGTTATAGGGTACACATCACTAGCTTTGCACGCTCAAGTATGTCCTTGAGGTCTGCTGCATCTTTGGTGCTGCCGTCTTAGCTAGTATGATCCAGATTCTAGCACTTTTAATGGTAAATGCTAAACTTCAGTGCATTTAAATGGGACTCTTACTCACGTTAGATGAGGGTTGGTCCGTCAGCCAATCTAAGAAGTAGGATGTACCACCAGCCCTGGTGTCTTGCTCGACGTTAACTGCCTTTGTCCGTCTCTTCACACACCCCATAAAAACCCATAATGATGACACATGCGCATGCTAGGGCTATTATGCTAATGGTGGTGTCATCGTTTTGTTCACACCAGTGCTCAGGACAACCCATCTGCCTCACTGAACGCCTTGCACGGGTGTGAAAGAGATTTTTGCCAATCAGCAACTCCGGAGATCTCAAAGGAGTATTGCCCCTGCAGGCAGAATCAGATGTTTGATTTGCCCCCTGGAGTGAGAAATTACCCCCCCACCCCCCACCTCTCCGTTGGATACAAAGCAGGGGATTGGTCGCATGGGTCATTACCCAGGGTGAAATGCAGCAGGAAGCTGGTGCAGTGGAGATGTGTACGTAAGTGCATCACCATATGGTCATATTTGTTAGGGAGGATGGAAAAATCTATAGTCCTTGTAAGTGCAGGTCAGTGACAATTTGTGACAACATGAGAGTTGCTTTCCACACCTTCAACAACTTCCACAGTAGTGCGATGAATCAATGCAGTTAATCATTCACCATCTAATCCAGTGCTCAGAGGCCAAACAGGGTAAGAAAAATTCTATTTAAAATGGTAGTGTGGAATACTGCAAAGAACGAAAATAGTCAATTTGGACACTTAAAGGAATAGTTTTTTTTATGGTAAATATGAAGATACATCTAGGAGAGCGTTAGCTTAGCTTAGCCAGAGACTAGAAGCAGGACCATTTCTTGGTCGGGCACCAGGGCTTCCTCGAGTGTTGTCATCAATGCAACTTGTAATTTTTACACCTGAGTTTCAGTACAAATTAAACAAACAAGATTAGTGAGCTTTATTGGTGCAGTTAGGTGGATTTTGTCATCTTTTTGACTGAGTCAGGCTAGCTCTTCCCCCCGTTTCCATTCTTTACGCTAAGCTAAGATAACCAGCTGCTGGTTGTACCTTCTAAATTTACTGTGCCGACATGGGAGAGGTATCCATCTTCTTATCTAACTCAAGCAAACTAATAAGCATATTTCATAAAATGTGGAACAATTTCTTCTAATTTTGGTTGATTCCACAGTGTGCCTTACCACTTTGAGCACAGACTAAAACATTATGCTGTTGGGTGTGGAGAAGGTTCTGTATTTGTGGATCCACAGGGGAGAAATTCAGTCATTTGCTAGGAGGCATGACAAGGCCATTGCTCTGCGTCAGGGTATTGAACGATGACAGCAGTACTAGCAGAAATCACTGCCAGCCTATTCCTATGGATCCTGGCGCTCATTTATTACACCGCCTATGGGCATCTACAGGGACGAGGGGAGCCACATACACCCACTAATTACTTTCTTTAGCATTCGCGTTAATGCCAGGTGCATCCTGCTGATACAAACCACAGTGTTTATCACCCCAGTAATGGCCTGGGAGAGAGAGAGAGAGTGAGAGATAGAGACAGAGAGAGGAGGGGAAGGAGAAAGAGAGGATTGTGGGGATGAGGATAGAAAACAAGAGCATTTCTTGATGAGCAACTAGACACTGGTACTTCTATTTTTGCCTGCTCTCTTTCTGGAGAAGGGGCTGAGACAGTGGTTGAGTTAATCATGGAGACAATAACACTGTCACATACACTCGGCGCACTTCATCCTCTATCATCTATCATTAACATTAAGTTCCTGCCACCAACCAAACAGATCTGGTAGGGAAAGACTACAACCCTCCCTCCTCCTCAGTTTTACATTAGGAGCCCTGGTGTCATTTACTAAAGCATGACTGCTGCACTGCTATGCAGCAGGGTGAGCAGATGGGGAAAAAACGACAGACATGTCATAACACGAATACGCTATAAACCATAACCGCTAGAATATTACCCTTTTTGCCTTTAATGTATGAAATGGACCTACATTTTTAGCACGGTAACATAAAGTCATGACAAAAAATATAGCAGAGCTCATAATATATTAATGTAACACATTTGAATGTGGTCATTTCAAAACTAACAAATACTATCTGAAAAGAGAAGGCTTTTGTTTTTCAAGTCAGTCATTGGCCTCAGGTAATCACCGAATTCTTTCAGGCTAGTTATAGAAGTACACAGTTATTGCACTCAGCTTTAGGCAGACTAGGGGGCATCTTGATCCTTGAATTTAATTACATTTGCACCGACAATACCTCCCTATATAGCTATATCAAATACCACTACAAAAAAAACAGCTTGAGACCAGAGACCAGACCTCTTGTAAGAGTGTGTGTAAAGAGTGGATACACAGTAGATGCTTCCATTGTGGGAATCATATGGTATAATTATAAATACAGTCAAAAACAACTATGAATCATCGAGTTCCCATGTAACCTGAGCAGTAAGGCATTCATAAACATCGAGACTGCATCGCATTCCCAAAGCAAAACCTTGTTTTTAGCTATGATTTACAGGAAATGAAAAAAGGCATTTTGAAATTTGTTTAGAAACTGAGTTTTGTATAACAGGTTGGGATGTATTTGGGTCTGTTATCAGTAGAAGAAGACACAGTCTTTGTATTGGCCAGTGGTTCGCAAACTCTTTTGCTTTTGACCCCTTTAAATAAAGCAAATGTCTAATTATGACCCTGCATGTCCCTGAGCTGTGAGCAGTTCCAATGAAGAGTGTTTTTCCTTCTTAGACTGTTTAATTTGAATAAGAGTGTTGAGTATGTAAAACTAAACAGAATCTGATAAACATGCTTTTGCGGCAGATTTTAGTTGTAGTTTTTTTTCCAATTTCCTGACCCCTTCTTGTGACCCCATTTAGGGAAAGTCCTTCTGGTGACACTGCTGCTCTACCTGTATAGCCATCACATACACAACGCACAACATGGACAGATAAACACACCCTTGCTCGTCAGTAAACAACACATGCTATCCAGTGTCACGCACAGGCAAAAACTATAACGCTGCAGTATAAATCCCCACACACACACTCTAATAGATTATTCTACAGGTTATAGAAGCAGCTATTGCCAATAAATGTCCCATAACCCCCTCTTCCACCTTCTCTCTCTCCCCCTTATTCATCTCTCCTTTATTCCCTCACTCAATCCCCCGAGGTTCATGGATATTTAATAAATTTCCATGTGGTTGGAGACAATGAAACAAATAGAGAAATCTAGCCTGATAAAGTTGATTATTGTGTGTGTGTGTGCGTGTTACACCCCTCTACCCCAGAGACAGTAAATCTAAACAGTCATATAGGGGTCTAGCCTTGTGACATCAGTAGCAGTAAAGGTCTCTAACACCACCTTATCAACCCCACCCAACCACACACAAAAACCAAGCAAGTCCCTATTGCCTTGATCCACTGATAGGAATGTAAGGTTGGTTTATATATCCACATTCCAGTTTCTCTGCGCTGCGTAATAAATCACAAAGCAGAGAGAGGGAAAGAGAGAATAGGACAAAGAGGAGGGGAGACTGATGTGACAGAGAGAGGGGGACACTCCATAGAGAAAAGAGGCTTTATTAGAGAAACTGAGACAGAATGTGTTTTGCGTTCGAGGACACGCAAAAAAAAAAGTGTAGAGACGAAGAGGGAGAAAGAAGAGTGGAGACGAAAGATGTGGAGATGACCCTCCACAAAACACTCCTGAAGCTCTCTGTTCACTCCCTTTCTTAAGTTTTCTTTAAGGAGAGAACAGAAAACGAGGTTGAGAGGAAGGGCAGAAATGATACGAGAGGGTGAATGTGTCCCATTTAACATGTAATAAAGCAGAACAGATTACCACTCCCTCTCACTGCCCGTCTCCCTCCTCAAGGTGTCCCTATATCATTTAATACAATCCTTTCTT